GTTGTTTATTCATTGATTCACCCCATATATATTAAGCCATTGAATATATTAGGAAAATTTGTGAATCTCTACTTGTACAGACGTACCAAATGAATTCAACTTAAGGAGGATAAGATCTATGAAGTCAATCTAATACAGTTTTAATACTGTCAGGTTAGTTCAATTATCGAGAAGTTCTACTATGTTGTAATTTTACAACCTTGCATTTCCAACATATGAAAGTTCGGAGAATTCCTCTGATCAGTTCAGATAAACTCTCGATTTCGGTGATAACATCGATCAATTAATTTTTACATCTAACAATGTGTATGAAGTGATGGTAGAGATGGTAATCCAAGAAGTATTATCCTCCATAAATGGTGGATTCAGTGGCTTTATTACATTTACGCCTATCATCCCAGAACCTTTATTTGTAGATTCTGGAATTGAATAAAGAAAAACAGACAAGTGGTTAGTTCACTATATGGTGCCTCATAATCAATGATAATTGAATCGGATTCGCATCAGTTTGATCGTCATAACTCTCTAGATAAACACCCTGTAGTGCAATTTATCGGCTGATGTTATCAAACATAAAGCAGAATAAAAGTCAATGGTGATCTTGTTATGTTTATCTATTTCAAACTGTATAACGAGTGGAATATACCTCTTAATTGAATTAAATGTATCTTATTCATGTTCTTATGAGTTGAATCGCTTGATATTCACCGTTTTTGTCTTTCTGCTTATTCATTATATCAATATTTTTTTCTTGTGACGAAATTATCAGTGTCATATTGAACCATTCGAATTTTCTATTGATCATAATACATAATTTGATTGTACATATGCTTCATCAGGATACTCTGAGAACAAGAATTATTCAACTAGATTTCAAATCAATCAACGCATTCTATGAAATATTTACATAAACGGACATTCAATAACTTAAATAGAGATCAAGCTGTCACACTAGGTTAATTAAATAACACCAATTTTGAATCTTATAAATGGTATTTCTAGCTTTCGTTTAATCAATACAATGCTTTGATAGGTTGGATTCTAGTCCACTTTTGTATACACCGATCCTGTATTAATGTTTTTGCCTTTGTACAAAAAAGGTTCTGAATCAAAAAACAATGAGTGATATTCAGTCATTACACTAATGAAACATATCACCAGTGTGAATGGACACTGGGTGCGTTATGTTGGAAATTGACTGGTTTCAGAAATGTAAACCATTGGTCTAAAACAAATTATGCTTTTTGTGAGAGCTGCAGGTTTTAAATTCATTGCATAATGAATTTCTGAGCGATTGCTGATGAGATTTAAACTAAAACAAAAAACATTCCAGTTTCCCACGACAACTAATAATGATTTTCCAATTGCATTGTCAAGTTATGATCAATTCATGAAGTCACTGATTGTCTACCTAAGTTATATTGGCAAATGCTTACTAAGTAGCAGGAGTCAAAGCGATTATTGTAACTAGTGATTAGAGATATGGAATGAAATGGCTCATATTCAGTCACAATGGCATATATGCACTTAATTTTTGTCTTACATTTCGAGTTTTAAAATTATATTGTACTTTTAATCCCGTGAATTCATTCTGTCTTGTTAAATCACATAGTCTTTTCTACTATCGCTGATACTGTTAATACTTTGGGACTTGTCTTAAGAAACTTGTCTCGCTATGTTGATATGCTATGACAGTTTGAATCAATGTACATGTACCAGGTTCAACATTGTTTATGACCAACTGACCAAAGGATAAACGCAAAAAAACATCTGCAGTGCATGCTAACACCAAGATTGAGACAAATAAATACTGAGGAAGGGAAAACGTTGCTTTAATAGGCTATATCAGTACTAGCCAATAAAATGACCAAGTAATGCAAAACCCCTATAACACTTGACAATGATGGTTGATTTCCATTTTTTTTAACAAGAGTGAAACAAACACACCGAATACCATTAAAACAACTTGTTCACACTTATTATACAAACGCGCCCCCGTGTTATTAAACGACCTTTTACACCTTCCTCATCCTCAAAGCTGTCGCCCGCTAATTAAGAGAAATCGTATAGTCTGTTATGATTGATCGATAATAAGAGTCAGTAACATTTGTAGTGATTAATTTTTCAATAATGTTATACCTAAAACTCGGATTCTTGAGATACCGTGCACAACTTTAGCACTCGGACGCTTGAACCCTCCAAGTCGCATGTTAGAAGACAGAAGACGGGTGGGAAAAAACCTCATTCTAATTAGTGTCAAATATAGTACAAAACATTCAGGTATTTATAGTTTTCAGTAAGAACGAAATCATCATTACAGCCATCCAATCCGCATGCAGTGGTTTTTAGCACTTGTCCAATCGGGAAGCTACACGTTGAAATTCCGCAATGTTCCTCCAAAAGAATATTCTATGGAATGTCTTCGGTTGTTTCACAGGTTCCTTCAGTTAACCCGGAGCTGTCTCCACAAATAACAATGAGTTTTAGTAATCACGCTATCACTAGTTTAGATTCAAGCTATTGAACGTGATTACAAACCGATATTAGTTTGTTTTTGAGCTTGCTATGTCTTTACAAATTTAGGAGAAACAAAAGTATCCACCTAGATATATTGAGGATATTATTTTGATAACACTTAAACCAATCAATAAACATTTTAGGATTTATGGTTGTATTCACAAAACTTATCGTCAAGAGTAAAGAAATAAAACTTCAATCAATTTAATCTAAGACAAACACATTGACTGATAAATACAGATCGTAAATTAATCGAAAAAAAGAACAAATAGTTATTATTAATTACTATAATATATATATATATATATATATATGTATATTTATATATTATAACTGTCGTTATCACTCAAAGTTCAAATCCGAAAAAGAGACAACAATAACAACAAAAACTCAGAAATAACATTGTTATTAAGTAGTAATGATAATTAGTAAATAATAAACAAAATTATTGTGAATGTGTCATTCAAGCTTCTTTTTTCACAATGTATTCATTTCATATCAATGAACAGTTTACATTTCTTTTAATCATATTCACTAAACATCTGAAGAGTCAACACTACCACCAACACCAAAAAATACCATAAAAAGGCATAGAAAAAAGGAGAGAAAAAAACAAATTTAAAAATAAAATATACACAGCATAAGCTGGGGGGGTGTGTGAATGGGATGAATGAATAAACTGGGGTAATACATTATTATATATAAATAGAGATAAAAAGAAACCCTAAATCTTTTACATAAAATACAAGCAAAAGAGGCTATTTATGTCAGATACACACATGTATATACTCCTGACACGAAATACTGTCTATGAGGTATATAGATTTTCTTTTTTAAAAAAAAAAGTGTGTAAATAATTAAATAATCAATATAGAACTAGGAAAAAGACACAGGGAAACGTTATTGTTTTTATTTTTTCTAGAAAAACAAACAAACAAAACAGAATATTAAATGAACCGGTTGTATTTATCAAAATACATACAACGGATTGACGGTTAAATGGTAAGATAAATAAAATACGAGGAAGATGAAGAGAGAATAAGTTAAAACAACTAAACCGAATACCTGAGAAATATACATATATCGCAGCATAAAAGTGTAGTAATCCACCACTAATTGTTTAATATAAACAGATATAATATATTTTATAACTAAGACATTTAGTATAGAAAAATAGGGACAGATTTCAATGTAACATTAACGCAGCGACAATTTACAACATTTTTACTGAAGAATCACTGTCAAAACCACCGGTATTTTTTATACCGCCTCTCCCCTCTTCGCAAATCTTTACATTATTTAGTACACATACATCTCAGTCATATAATTGATATATGAATAGCAAGAAAGATAAATATTGTAAATTATAAGAGGTAGGCAAGTAAGTAAGTGGAAACCACTACATTGCTACATATATATGAATTAGTTAAAAGTGTGGAGGGAGAAAAAGTGGTGGTGTAATAATGCCCACCCCATCAAAGTAAAGGCATGGAAAACAATATACACAGTACATACAATAAGAAAAACAACTACCAAACCCCTTACCTCCTGATCTGTCAAATATTGTTAAATACCTAAGAGAGTAATATAATTAATAAAAAGAAATTCAAACAATGAAGGAATAAAATAGCTGTAAATAATTATAAAAATTTTCCCAATTGTAAGTTTCATCATTACCTGAGAATGATCATAGCAAGGTATAACTATTGAAATATATAATAGAAAAAAATTGAATCTACATATTAGAATACTTGAATGAATTATAAGCTAATTTGCTGCTGCCCCCTTTCCATCTAAGAAAAAAGCGTAAAAATCGCATATAAAAGAAAAACAGGTTAAACCACAGCCAAAATACACAAAAGATGTTTATTTTTCTTGTTCCAACGCTTAAAAACTTTTGTTTTTTTGAAGATATAAAGTTATACAAGGAAGCTTTAAGATTGAAGGAATATCATTCTGTACACACACACAGACAGAGGCATACATAAACAAACACAGCATTCACTCATTTCAATTATGTCATGCAGGAAAAAAACAATGGAATAGTTTTGTTTCTTAAAAATTTGTTTACTTTTCGCAGGAGAAGTTAAGAAATAATCATACACAAGGGTAGGCGTGAGATGATGACATTTAAGCAGGGAAGAGAAAAAAATCAAGACAGAGAGGAAGAAACAAAACACAGGTAATAACAAACAGGAACTAAACTCTTTAAAATAATAATAATAATAAAGACCAATTAAGTATTCACTTGAAATATATATGAATATGTGTATGTGCAAAAATTAAAATGAACAAAACAATGATGAATTCATAAACAAGGCTAATTCAGTTGTTTTCACATGTTTTATGCTTTTGTACATAATTCATACGAAGAAAATTTTCCGTGAATACAAGCTGTGAAGGTAGATAGGCAGATAGATAGATTGGCTAATCAGTTAAAATTCGGTGATTTGATTATTTTATTATAAATAAATAGATTTATTTTATGAAAATTCCAGATGAATACTATTACTACTACTGGTACTTGTAGACGACGTCGTCATCGTCGTTGTAGTAGTAGTAGTACTGATAAAATTTGAAGAGTCTACTTTTTTCACAGATAAATATGAAAATATAGATTCTAAATTATTTAACAGATGATTTAACTCATTAGAACATGTTAACTTTTCAATATGTGCAGCAACTGATTGAAAATTGGATAATTTCAGTAATAAACGTCCCATTCGTCCATGTGGAGCATTTGGCCAAACTTGATTACAATAATATTCTAGGCCAGAGTAAACTTGATCACGTAACAATTCAATTGATGAACGAATATTATTAAGACAAGTCAGAGAATCTACAAACATGTGTAAATGAATAAAACAAAGAGAAACAAAAGTGAGAGTATAATGTTTAAATGTTATGAATGATAAAAGGTATATTTATTACTAAAAAATGACAGTAGTAATTTCGATGTTATATGAAGCATGATTATGTAATGAAGTATAGTCTGAACAAGAGTATTACTTATATAGATTTGAAGTGATGGCTTAATGGTTAGAGTGTTCAACTTAAGAATGAAAGCATCTAGTGCTTGAAGGTAGTCAACAGTGACCTAACTTAGATCGATCCATAATTTCAATGAAATTTAACAATCTCCACAACCCCATATCGAAAGTTATTTTAGTCACAGAGAGACAATATAGAAGCAAAATGTAATTTTTATATTAGTAGAAAGGAGTTCATCTTTCCAATCATTGACTGTCAACAAGTGAATAGTATGAATTTACCTGGTATTACCTATGCAGTAATCTCTTATGAAGATGCGAACAATATTTCGTCGATATATAAATGCATAGGTAGTCGGATTAAAATTTTGGACCATCTACCTAAAAAATAAGCAAATCCTTATGAATTCAACTTGTTACATCTACACTTAATCGGATCAATCAATACGAAAGTTTGTTAATGAGGAGTTCGCTTTACAGCCATAAACAACGTGGAATCTGGTACATCTGTACATTGGTCCTTCGCCACAACCTATAAGTACAGCGAGATGAAATTGTTAGTGGAAATCAAAGAGTAGAAGATGTAGTAACAGTATTAATGTTAATAGGAAAGACTAGGCATCGAAGACACGATTCGGGAAAATTTAAATTAGTGAAATGAAAAATTTTTACGAGAGATTTAGAAGCCTAAGGTCTAAGGGAAAACAAAAAGTGAATAAACCTGAGCCATTACAAACGATTGTGACCCGATGTCTCTAATAATTGGTTGCGATAACAAATTAACTAGGTAGTCTGGTATCTAACTACATGGATCAGTCCAATGGTTTGTGTCTTCATAGACTGATGCTATGTCTTGGTTTGGCCGCCTCTAGATATTTTCCAAACTACTCCAACACCAGCCATCGTCGAGTATCAAGGCAGTCCGTAGCTAGGAATACGCAATGCATATACGCAATATATATATATATATATATATATATATATAGTGTCTGTTAGCCGGATACCATCAGCAACAGCCTACTGTGTGAGAGAACAAACCAACTTCCAGTACTTGGCAATCATGATTAAATACCGCATGCTGAAGATCCTATATTGCGCTAAACATATGATATGAATAAAGCAATTATTAGTATCATATAACTTTTACCGTTACTTCGGATTCGATTTTTTATGCTCTATGTTGAACAAGCAAGTTATATTTTGTTTGACGAACCCCACCCCTTCCGCTAACAGAATACTCTGAACAAAATAAACAGTCCTCTTCCCTCAAAAATTACAGAATGGGAGCGAAATATGATGAAAAAGCTTACCTGGATTCAATAGTAAAATCAATTTTAAACAACCCAGTTCCACCGGATCCAGGTTTAACATTCTGAGCTTTATAGCTAAATTATAAATTAGCTTGTAAACATTTGTATTACGTTTTCGAATCATATCATCTACACTATCGTCATTAATGTTAGTTGGTTTTGAAGAAATTGAATCGTTATTATTATTATCCATTGGTTTTGTTAAATTATTTAATAAATGAAATTCTGGGAAATTCGAATAATAATAATCCATTTTCTCATCCAATGGAACAGATTTGTTTATTTTTTTCACTTGTATTGTACAGTCTTTAGATATATCTGATACTGTTGATGAAACTGAATTTTCAGGGGGATCGTTAGTGATATTGGGAATATCAGTAGTATTATTAGTAGGAGGAACAGCAGCGGTAGAAGCAGTATTAATAGTGGTAGTAGTATCGGGAAGTTTAGATGTAGAATTTGATGTTGGTAATGAACGAGGTTTATGATCGTTTGCTAACCAATAAACTAAATTCACTATGATCAGTTGCATGCATGCTGGTGAAAAAGAGAAAAAAACGATTGGACTATTATGAATATCAAAGAACATAGTAACTGAGAAAAACAGTGAGAGGCTTTATAATGTGAAGGCTTCTCATGATGTTTAACAAACAGTCAGTTATAACCAACATAGGATTATCCACAAATCTAATAATACTTTGAAGATCAGAATGATGCTAATGACCAATATGCTTTCCAAAAATAAAAAGTTCAGGTACTAACATAACTGGCAGAGTTGAATAACACCAAGATTGGAGAAAGGTGCATTGCTGAAGGCAATGGATGATAGTTACGCAATGTCGTTAAGTGACTGAAGTGAGAAGGACAGACTATTGTGACAAAAGATAACGTGGCAGCTACGATGTTTGATGATCCATAGTTCGTGAGATTTTGGGTGTGTGTACATACTGAGACGAAATGGATGTCTAGCTAAAGTTAGTCTGTGACATAAACTGTTCTTAATATGATACTTCGATTGTAGGATAATAAGTTGAATTGAGTACAATGCCATAAGACATTGACTAAAATAAAGAATTCACGGTAAATGTACAGTGGAATTCCATCATAATTTAGCCATATAATGTTAATTTTATTTGAAAGGGTTGGTACTTTCCCGTTACTGATGTTAAAGACTGCAACTGATCAGTCGTTAATAGTATATGCGCAACTTATAACGAAATAGTAATATTAAGGCATTCCATTCAGGATGCACGAATGTCAGTAAAAACTGATCATCAAGTGAAGACGTTAACATCAATCACGGGTAAATACAAATCCTTATAAATATTTATTAACAAACATACACTAATGTATGAAGAGATTACAAACCGATATAAAAATGAGATCTGTTTTTTTTTTGACTTGACCAAAAATAAAACGGTTTATTATTTGTAAAAAGAACCCCGTAATTTCCTAAAGATCATTTTCTCAACAATTCCATCATTAATAACAAGTAAATAGTGTATACAACAAAATTATTTGGAATAAATTCCAACACGTGGAACGCATGAATCAATGATAGAGAGATGTATAGATTTGACCCATATAATTCAATGAATAAACATACATTTTGATATTACAATGCATTAATGATACACACAAATAATAAACTCATTGATTTAAAATTATAGTTGATGTGAATTGATTTTTAGGTCAACAATAATTGAATCAATCATGAATACCATGAATTTGAACTTGACTGTAAACTATGATAGATGGATGTAAAGATTTGAAACTATAGACAGACAGTTAGTTAGCTGAAAGGGCCTCTTTTTAAATTGATCGTTATTGTCAACGCTTAGTCTTTTCAACTTAGCATTTCGATTTCTTTGTCATTCACTTGGTTAATTTCATCACGTTGTGCTAATTATGTATGGGAACTTGGACCAATATACACAGTTGTCTCAGGCTTTACGTTAATTATAATTGAGTGGTTAGTTGTAATTCTGATACCCGTTATTAAAATCATGTTAAATAAACAAATATCAATCGGATAACGAGTTAATCAATTTATTACAACTTATCAAGCAGACTTGAACATATATACTTATCGTTTTGAAGGCAAGGATTCAGTCACCGGAAAAGAAATAGAGTGTTTGAAAATCGAGTAATTCAACCCATTAAGAAAAAACAAACAAACATTGTTCTTCTTAGTAGCTGTGAATTTCTGATGTAAATTTTTGTAAACTATCAGGAATTACAATGATGAATTAACTTTTCTATGACATTAACGGAGGTAATGCTTTCTCATCTCATCTCATAAATGGAACTCAGCAGTGGCTAGCATATATATATTCAAAATACATTCCTAACAAAGAGTTTGAGTATCGATTAATATGTACATTACTTATTTCAGAAACGATTGTAATAATAATAATGACCAATTAGGGTTTGTGGGCACTTGTTAAATTGGAGATAATTTTCATCTGAATGAAATTTATTGGAGAATTCCTTAAGGTTAAAGGGCACAATTGAATAGTTGGATTATCCTAGAATAAATTAAAGGTAACCACTTACAACGACGGCGCACGAACTGAAATATTTAGAACCTTCAACTTTCATGGTAGTAATGATACCATTCAGTTGGTGATAAGTTGAATTTCAGAACGGAATATATTTGGTTCGGTTTGGTATAGGATTTCATAGTTTATTTCACGGATCGATTATAGTTAAATAACTACTGAAAACCAATAAACACTGCACAGCTGTTTGGTTTCAGCATTGAACTCGGCAGTGAGCATTCATACTCTCAACGGGGATCGAACCCAGGGTCATCAGGTTTCGTGGAGAGCGCATAGATGTTAGGCCACTAAGTAGACAGAAAATGGTCTATATTTTTAACTTCAATCATCAATACGCATTGTTGTGCGACTAAATTATTTTGGTGGATAACTTTCTCACACACGACGCATGGTTGAGCCCCACTGATCACAGCTTAAAGTTAAAAATGTAAATCATTGAACGTCTACTCAGTAGTCTAAAGGTTAATTTCTCTCTGTAAGAACTGAAGGTCATAGGCTCTATCCGACGTTAAGGTCGTGGATGCATTGTTCAGGTACAAGCTAAAACAAAACAATTGTCCAGTGATTCCTGGTGCTCAATGACAATTTAAGGTCAGTTTATGATGAAAACTGTGAAACTTAATAATTTATATGGGATTGCTAGTGAATGATACTGTCTCAGAACTACGATGAAAAGATAATTGGTGTTAGTTCGAGTTTTAAATGGTTCTTTTAACTGATGTCAATCCAAGATGAGAAATATTTCTAAATAAAAATTAAACTAGATAGAAGTAGTTAAGATGAGTATCACTGATAATATCTAGCAACAATTATAGATCGCAGGGTAGGCCGCCTGCAAAGACTAGTTATATATATAATAAAGATGAAAATGTATGTAGACATAATCGTACCTGATTTAAGGAGGTCTAAGTGAACACCACAAGAGAGTTGACAGATATATGGAATTTTTGACGACCAGATAACTAAATCAAGCAGTGGTAAATGATTAGTTGTACACTGTAAATGAGAAGAGAGAGATAGAATTACTGATGAAGAAAATAGTTTGATAATCAAAAAATTTCAAATAATGAAAATAATACTTTAACTATGTACAATGTTGATAAAACAAATTAACATTCGAGATAAAATCAGTATACTGATGAGATTCTAATATTCTATGAATGTTATTCTTACAAAATTTCTGTTTTATAACACAAGAAAAATACAACCATAAACGAGTATAACAATGCTAAACAAACACAGACAAGGTAGCTACTCTTACACTTGTAAATGAGGTGTTGGTTTGTACACGAACGAGAGATTTGAAAGTGACTAGAAATCTCTATGTATAATTAGTTCACAAAATCTTTAACTGATACAAATTGTATGGAAAGTTGTAAGCTTTCATCAACTGACAACAAGTAGGATAGTAGAGGTCAAAGATGGTTAAAGAATATAAACTAAAATGTTTAAAAACAAATCAGTTTACATATATTAACTACTTTTAATATATTTTTAAGAAATAAGAATAATTGAATATTCAGTCAGTTACAATGTAGGACCAGGCACACATATGCATCGGTCCAAGTTCCTACACCTCATTACCATAGCAAGACGAACACCGGATTCACAGAAGCAGTTAGTTCAATGGGGTAATATACAAAGAAAAGATTTTATGTAAGGATATAGTACAGAAAGAAAAAAATTAGTTGGCAGAAAGAAGGATATGAAATAATTTTAATCTCATAGTTTAAGGGAAGACAAAGAGTATATACATCTACGCCATTGTGATCGATTCTGAGCCATGTTACTCAGAGTCTTCAACCATTTCATTTGATAAATCATAACTAATCACAGGAAAAATAGATAGTCTATCAAGACTAAAGTAAGAATATTGATGAGAACCTATTAGAAAAATAATACAGCTCAATTATTCTAAACGAAATGATTGAAAAAAACATAATCATTTAAACATTTCAGTTTGACCTAACAAAAAATTCAAAAAAATGATTAGTAACTCTTATGAACTTGTTGTTTTTAGAAAAGAAAAAACAAAACTGCAGAGTATAACACGATGAACAATACCATTCAGTTTACTAGTCCGATAGAATCAAACCCGGATTTTCATGGGAAATTTGAAAATATTAAAACAGTAAATCGAAATCACTCAAATTTTAATAAAATGTAAACTGATGCTTTGAGAAATAATGATGAAATATCATTTCTTTTTTTACAATTCTCTTAAGTGACTTGTGAAGATCTGTTAGTACTTCACGAGAGTTTGTATCAACTTCAGATACTCGAAGTAAACAATGAAGGTTTAGACAGTTGAACAAAGCAAAGTAACAAAATGTGTGATATTCTTCACCATAGCACAAATTCATCACACATATGTATGCTTGGTTGTTGAGTTTTCAAACATTTTAATGCGTCAAAGTGTGTGTCAAAAAGTGAACCAACATACCAAATAAGAAACAATTTATAATTGTTTTGATACGATCGCTAAGAATTAAGCTTAAAAATCATATCTTGACTGATTGGACAGAGGAGTGTGCAAAATACGAGCTGATTCTCGTCCAATCGCTCATGATAATTTATTATGGTTACTTTGTGTTAGTAGTTTGTCATTCTTTCTTTAACGCTTTCCTTCCGCATAGTTGTTTCGCATTTGATTTTAAATCATTCATGGCGTTGAGTCAATAGCGTGGTCTCATGAGTAGCCATCACTAAGTCACATGGAATGATTGGATATTTCCAGTTGGTCAGAATTTTCTTTCACAAAATTCTAATCCATAACACAAAGGTGACTGGGATAGGATGGGACAAAGTCAGGGATCATATTTTATAACAAACAAAAAGGGTATGCTTTGCAAATTGAAGGATAAAAAGAAGGCAAAATATCAAGTTAGTTGAAAAAGAAACCAACACCTCAAAGAATATTCGGGACAAGAAAAGCCTAAAATACTAACCTTCTCAAAATTATTTTCTAACCACTTGAAATTTTCCATACTGTCTTGAAAACATTTAGCAATCTCTGCATGACACTGTTGTTTATTGAAAGCACTCAACCATTGTTTACGTCTATTTGAAATAGTTGATTCAGCCGTCCTGATAAATTCTAAGGCATCAGGTGGTGCTGGAATGGCTGCGGGTGTTGTTGTTGGGAGTTTCAATGTATGAATGTCTACCAGAGGTAATGTTACGTTGTTGCTATCTTTATTAACGATTAAAGACAACTCTTGAGGTGGATATGTTGCAGCGTCATTGACAGTGAGATTAAAATTATCATTTATTGGAAGTTGTTGAGATTTTTCGTTCGATGCTGAGTACAAATAATTTATACTACTATCTGAGCATTTCGAAAGTATGTGAGGACTAGATGATGATGATAATGTACAATTAGTTGTTTTTAACATTGCTTCTTGGTTTTCAACTAAACAAGAATGATTCAATGTATGACTTATTTTTGTATCAGACATAATCATCGAGTTAACTGATAAGTCACAATTTTGCTCAGGTGGAGTTGGTGATCTTTGGACTTCATACTGAAGCTGTTGTTGTTGGCGTTCTTCTTGAACAGCTAGAATTGCAGATAAAGAAAAAAACGAATAAGATAAAGCTGTTCAGGATAGTTTGCTCTGGTATGGTCGAAAGTGAAGAGAGTATACTTACGCTCTCGAAACATTCTCACACGACAAGAGTATTTTAGCCTTTGTCAAGAGAGTTCTATTTACTGTCTTTAAGTGGAGATGATGGTTTTATGAAAGAGATGGACCATGAAAATCGGATGTCCGGTGATCAAAATGCTTAGGTGGACATTCATAGTCTTCCTAGGAAAGTAGGGAAATGTTGATTTTAAAATACCTTCAGGTCTAAAGCATAGGGAGCGGTCCCTTAGCAAAAGCATATGCTTCAGACTGATGTTCTAGAGTAGGATCCTTGAACATAGGCGTGAAAGAGGGAGATTATGATTTCCTTATCTGGTACACTAGTGCTTAACAGGTATGGATTTCTTAATTATTTAATTATAGTCAAATTTATTTTACTTCACTTTGTCGTCCTATTTCGCTTTATTTTGATGTTACTTATACGTTTTGTCACCAGAATATAAATCTGTAACTCACGTAGCAGTTGGCCTAAGCTGTAAGTTCCCTATTGTTTATACAATATTAAGTCGCCGAGTGGACGATTTTATGAATATGATAAGACATTTCTGAAGCCAAGTTTGCCGCTAAAACTTGTCTCCTTCAACATTCCACATTGATCTAGATCGGACAGCAAATAAGTTTGGTTTTGCAAAGTCTTAGCATAAAAGTGAGTTGTGTATTTGTGATTTATATTCAGGGCTCTAGCGAAGTCCTCAATCCCTCGATATGAAAAGTTTTTCCTTGTTCACTTGTTCGGGGGACTCTGAAATATTGGCCTCCATATTCGGTGAAGTCGGTGTCGTACTACGCGCCAATGAGGTGGCACTAATCGATTGAATTATCATTAGGAATCGTTTATCAGCTGTTCGATTAGGAGATTGCATAAAAATGAAAAGAAACTTGGGTGAGTGATAAGGTTTTTTGAAATCCTCGCCTACATATCGACGGATCGCAGCCCATATGGAATCAACGATAAGTCCTGTCACTGACTAAGTCACTGCTTCGCTGATTAAAAACAATTTCTGCTCATTTATTCAGACTGTACGACCCTCTTAATTAGCTGTTCTTCGCAAGATTACCAACTCACTTATGTGTAGCATTTTTCGATGCCCAATTGTATCAAAAATTCTGTTATCAATAAATACAGATGTCAATATTCATTTTTTTTTTCAATAGAATCGTGAACCAATGTTAGACCACGAGTGAAAATCTGAAAACAATGGATGGCCGTTTCGTCAAAGTATGGGACTTCTTAGCAGTCCTCATTCACGATATTACAGGCGGGAATCGAACACAAGATCTTCGGTCTCGCGTGCGAACGCTCAAGCTCTAGACTCATAACCCGGCATCTAACGGTGTTAGTGTCTGACTTTAACCAACCCATAGTATCGCACGACCGTCTTTTATTGTTTTAGGTCGGTAACTGCCTCTCACCCGACATGGTTGTACTCTACTGGTCACGTTTTCTCACTAGAACATCAAGAATTCCCTCTCGTGTGGCGTCATGGATGAGCACTTCTGAGGAGTCCCATACTTGGGAAAAACGGGCTTTTAGTGCTTCCAGGTTTTTAATGGTAGTATGACACTGATCGGTTAATGGTTTCAATGAAGCTCCACAAACCTATATTGATACTCTTTTCGTCAGTAAAATATGTTTATGTTCAGTCCGAATTGTGTCATGATTTGGGAACCAGTTGAGTGAAGCGAAGAGTCCGAGAACACTAGGTCGTAAATAAGGAGACTTAAAGACAGCCAATTCTTTTCAGCGACTCCGCTCCGTTGATAAGGTACGCTAAGCATCATGAACACTGTGATGCCTTTAGGCTGCTCAATGAGCTACACATAATGAGCTTTAAATAGATAGTCAGAAAACAACAACTGAATCATAAATACCCTAACGTGGTGGTTGACCTTGCCCATCGTGATGACCCAAACAAGTTACATTGGCCGGAAAACTTGTTCAGTTAGATAATATAATTCTAGGCAGAGCAGTTGGATAACGACAAAACATTCGTTTTAAAACGATTTTTGGTGGCTTGAGATCACCAGCCGATATCATGTCTAATACCGCCCAATCAGGATTCTGGTTATCGATAAATCCATCCATATGACTAGTACGACATATGATCTAGATAACCGCTGACACGTGGATCAATAAACAACAACTCAACATATCAAAGTTAATTGGTTCTCCAGCTCCTAACACAGTGGCCAATTAGAAGAACCAGGTAAGAAAAAGCATTATCAAAACCTTATACCTTTTTTAATTTATTATGCTGACACTGATATTGTTACTACCTCTGTTATCCCGAGATTCTTCTTGATAAAAGGAACTGATAAAAACAAGACTAATGTAAAAATAATTACAAGGTATGCATGTATGTATCATCATTACATTCAATTTCATATTGGACAGGGAATGAAAATTAGCATATAAATAAATAAAGAAAATTTGGACTAATATATAAACTGACCTTCTCGTCGCATTCCCGCCCGTAAACATTTTTGATAACGGCAATATTGGCAACGATTACGTAGTCGCTTATCAATCTGACATTCTTGATTATCTCGACAAATATAAGTGAGTTCCTTACGTACAGTCCGTTTGAAAAATCCTTTACACCCTTCACACGAAAAGACACCTATAAGAGCATGACAAGAAATTTTCAATAAAACTGACGCTAATTCGGCGTGCGCGCACCTACACAAATGTAAAAACTTTTAATCTGTTAATTTAACTAATAAATTAAAAATATACCTCTTTGATTAAGATCTCAAAAGAGGAAATTCATATTATAAATTAAAACAAAATATAAAGATATTTATAGCATTCATATCTTGAGTTCAAAATGAACACATAAAAAAGTAGTCGAACGTGTCGACAACTTCATTTGGAAGTCTGATCAGCCCTAATGAGTTGGTGTCTGGTGAAATCTGTGCACGGATTCAGAAAGCTCATTTGGCTTTTGCCAACTTACGTCACCTATGGCGAAGGTGAGATATCGGTTTATCAATTAAAGGACGTGTATACTGCGCAGCGGTTCGTTCTGTTCTACTTTACGGCTGCAAAACAAGGTCATCAAGAGTAAAGGATACACGTAAGTTACTAGTATTTGGTCCCAGATGTCTCAGAAAGATCGCCCGCATTGAATTAACTACTTCTATGAATCCAGTGTCCATCTTGCTGTGCTAATGAGGTATGGCAACTTGGACCGATGCATATATGTGCCTGGTCCTATGTTGTAGCTGACTGACTGAATCCTGTCAGTCTTGTAAAAGTACTTCGCACTTAAAAGGTGCAAAGCACATGTCATATCTACGGACACTAACTGCCCACTGATTAAGCGCGGACTGCATGACTTGAGTATCATTGCACAGTATAAGACAATAGTATAAGCACACTTAAGATTGAAAAATATTTCTCCAGATAACAGATACACCCCACTGTTACCTGCATCCCTTAGAGCCATTTCTAGAATGTCATCTGTGAGATTATGCAACTGATTAACCCCACTTACTCAAATGGAATGAGTTGACTTTGAAACAACTAATAATTTGTATTATTAGCTTCTATTAGAGAGAGAGAACATGTATGGATGAACTAGAGGCAGTAAAAAAATGGTAAAACAATTTAAGAGGGATAAAAATTTCAAGGAAAAAAAACTGACCATAGTGTTTTCCACTTGCACGATCGGAACATATTGAACAAATATACTGTCCAGATGAAACAGACACACCACCACTAGTACCACTACAGGAACTACCACAACTACTTCCACTGCTTGTACTGGTTGAACGTCCCGATGGCCGTAACAAACAACATATGGTAGATGATTGTAATGTTGTTGATGGTGAATTACAATTTGTTAATAATGGAGAGGAGGATATTACTGAGTGTGATCTATCATTATTTGATAAACAATTTGAATCAATATAAGAACTAGTACCTAAATTATGTGTATTACTATCATTATTTTTAACCGGAGATGAAATTAAAATCGGTTGAATATGACACAATTCTGATGGTTGAACAATACCAGTAGTAGTTTTAGTTAATAGAATATTTTTATCAATAATATGTTGCTTTGTATTATCTGTTTTGAACACAACATTATTATTACCATTGGGTGACTGTTGACTTATTATTGGGATATTATTTGAATTAGATGATATACAACACAAAACCGGTGTAGTTAATTTCTTAGTAGACAATTGAGATACAACAATAGAACATTCAGATTGATGACCAGCTGTTTCAGGAAAATTCATACGATTCTGATAAGTCGATTGAAAAGGAGCAGAATTCTGTAGAAAATAAGTTTAAAAGAGTTAAACATAAACTAATGTTTTTTTTTCTTTTTTAGAATAAAATTTGAATTATGCATTAGTATACCATGAAAATTAACTTATTAATTATTGTGATTATAATAGATGTAGCAGAGCAAAAAATGTTGTTCCATTTAGTCATTTTGTAATGATTATTTTATTAGAATAGACTATTATAGAATTTAACGATACCACTTATCAATTAGCTACCCAAAATTAAGCAAATGATACAAGTATAAAACAAATATCAATGGTTCAATAGACATTAAGAATATCAAACTAATAATTTAACTTTAAAGCGCTACTAACAACACAATTATTGGCTTTAAAAAATCCTTTACATCTTTTATATATGTGTATCCAATCAAAAGCTTTCATTTGACACTAACTACTGTTATACGATTTACTGTTTTCGACATATATTTCTAGTCTATTAGTTACGGTCTCTTATACTCACAACCACTTTTGGTTTGATCTTATATAATTTTTATTTTTTCATTTTATGGTGTGATGCGGTCTGGTCTGCTTCTATATAAATCACGTATACCTGAAAAACAACTCTTCATGGATCCACAATCATCAAAGCATCCTTCAAACAAAGAAGGAAGGGGTCAAAATGAATGTTATCCAGTGCTAGGCACCCACCAACGAGAGTAACGAAGACAATAAAGACAAGTTTTACCAGAGGCAGAAATAAGAAGGTCAGCGCGCCAGTGGATTGGACATTTCGATGGAGGGTAGCACAGATCGCAGCAAAGAAGATGGAATGGCGAACAAAACAACCTCAAGAGTGAGTGTTTACAAGGGGGATGAGTGTAGTGTATGCTACTTATGTCTGTCGGCATAAGTAGTGGAAGTGGAAAACCTGACAGCAGAAGGTTGAGATGATCGAATCGAACAGAACAGAAACAGAGAGTAATTGTTGTGCCAATGAAGGAACAGTGAGGTTTGAGACAGTTAATTGACATTTCACAAATTAAGTATTTACTGTATAATTCTCAGGTTTTACTAAAAAGTTTTGTAATTTTGTGTTCAAATACATTCGATTTTCCCCACTTGTGTTCTCGCTCACTACAGTCAGAATCTTCAATACGAACGCCAAGATGATTCTACTGTATGGAGCTGGGACGTGGACAACTAACAAAATTATCATCGAAAAGTGCAAATATTTATAAACAATTGTCTACGCAAGATACCCAATATCTGTTGGCCGGATACTATCAACATCAACTTACTATGGCAGAGAACAATTCAGCTTCCAGTTGAAGAGAAAATTAGGAAAAGACGTTGTAAGTGGATAGGACACGCACTGCAGAAATCACCACATTGTATCACAAGGCACTCCCTAACTTGGAATTCTCAAGGTGAAAGGAAGAGTCAGACCAAAGAACATACTGGAGGTAAACATCAAAATAATGAATAACAATCGAACACAATTGGAAAGGATTGCCCAGGACAGATTTCGGTGGAGTGCTGGTGGGAGGCCTATGCTCTTCCATGAGAGGTAACAAGCCTAAGTAAGTAATGTCTGAAGTATATGATGCATATAGCGGATGTTGATATTTGTATTCTGGACTGGACGGATTGACCTAAACGAGAAGCTAATATATCGGAGACCAATAAGGATTCAGAGTTGACTGAGGGCTGCGAGTACTGGTTGTGTCATTGGTTTAGGGTCATAGGGCAAACAGTTTCTTACAGGAAATGATTGTTGAATTTGTTTAAGAACATTACTTAGCCGTAATGGTTTAAATAGTTTTTGCATTAAAATGACTAAAAATGAGTTGATAATAAGTAGTACTTTAAAGATTTCGAATTACACAGAAAACACGTTACTTTTAAAACTGTAAGTTAGACCGACTCAATGTGGTAAACGTTTAATTGCAATATAGTTGGTCATTGGCTTAGTTCTGTCGATAATTAACAACAGTAGCTTACTTCATATATTTATTAGACAGACTGTGTTTATATGATAACGAAAATTATTACAAATTGCCATAAAATAAAGACTAGAATAATTGTTTGACTGATGAGTACACTAAGCAAAAGTGTAGACAGAATGATCTAGTGGTACTCACTTTTAAACACAGGTTTTCCACATGATCGTTGTTACTATGAAATAGGATCCTAATCACCAGGCCTGAACTACTTTACACACTTAAGATCGAAAATTAATAGGTTTATTATTAATAATGAATAACCGGGGTTAATGACTGAAAGAATAAAAGTTACTGAAATACAAAACTTGGACTACATTCGCTATGCGAAGACTGATCGTAAATCCAGTCTGAATTTGTCAGATGTATGTGTGATATACTGAATGTACTAACTCGAGCTATGGTGAAACGGTTAAGACTATAACAAATATCTCCACAAAAAATTGACGTAAAGCTACCGGGAACAGCTACAAAACAGATTTAAATAGATATATGACAAATATACAAATAAAATTAACGACCCTGCTGTTAATAGGATAGAATTTTAATTAGCGCGTGATTGAATCAAGATCAGAGTCAGGAAGAGCTGACTGGCTCATTCTGTAACCAATCGGCTCTAGTGGATAGATTGGGAAGATATTAGAATATTGCTGTGTAAATACTATACATACGCTAACGTCTTTGCTATATTAAGTTTTGCTGTTTGGATTTTAGAGCATACTTTTTTATTTAGTCATAGTTTTTACTCCGGTTTCTGACCAATCGAGTGAAATATTGCGTCCATAGAATACTAGGGAGGTTGAAAAAATGCCACATAGTATGGTGTATAATGTGACAATTGGAATCTGTAAACTACTGTGAGATATATTTTAAAGGTGTTAGCTTAATGGTGATCGATTTCTAACCATGTTGTTTAGCTTCATCACCATATTGTGGACCGAATTCACGAATCAAGACCTACTACAAGCAGGTTAGATCAACAGTTGATGTGGCCAAGGGATTAAAGAAGCGTTTCATTGTAAGGAGATGAACTTCCTCACATTAAAATGTCATCTGTGTTACGATTTTTCATTTTTTTTCGTTTCCACATCAATCATTCTCTGTTCTCGTCCTCTTTTTTTAACCTTCTGCCTCCAGGCATTTCACTGTGTGTGAAAATATTTTATATGTTAAATAAAGTTAAAGACTGTATTTCGTCAAGTGACCTGGAGATTGAGTTCTTATACACAATGAACAGGAACCCGGATGTGAAATGAGATTGATTAATTGTGACAGAGATTCACTTCAAGTCGGTGGAAATAGCAATCGTGAATGGGAAATATCATTAGCGTGAATTCAATGTGGTATCGTATCTACTTGTCCAATAAGATAAAATGAGTTTAGACTTACGGAGCACTATACCTGTTTCTTGAGGTTAGGTAGTCATAGAAACGGGGGAGAGTGGGGACAAAAATATGAAGCGATAATTGATTCCAGTAAATTGTACATTACTTTATTATGAATCTCATCTGGCAACATAACGACAGTGATGTTAGAGAGAGACATATGAGTTTGTTACAAAGGGTACAACTGAAAGATGAAAACATGCTGACCCATTTGCGTAGGGCGTGATCATCCCCTTAATAATGATGTGATTTGAGTATATGAATTTCAGCTACACATGCTAATTACTAACAGAATCGGCACAATAGGAACAAATCTTGTTACAATAATATTTTAAAATCAAATGTATACAAAACTAAGTTGTGTCAAAAGTGTTGAAAAGGTTGGAATGATGATAAAATAATGGTCAAAAATTTAAACCGATATATCGTTTGATGTGATTTTAATCTATGAACTGTTCATATGTAATACAGTTTATTTTGTACAATAATCTTTATGTTAAAAAATCAGTCATATGCGACAAGGAACATGGGATATATGTATATTCGTTAACGATACTGTATCACATTAGTACAACGAGTTGAAATTACCAAGAAAAATCTCGGGATAACAGAGATAGTAACAATATCAGTGTCAGCATAATAGATTAAAAAAGGTATAAGGTTTCGATAATCAAAACATAAGGGTAGACAAACAATGAATGCACCTACACCATTGTGAACGATTCTGAGTCAATCCACTCAACATCTTTAAACACTGATTGAAGTTATGGAGATGACCTAAACCAGGCAGCCTCAGACTAACAGTCAGTGTCTTTATGAACTGATGCCGTATCTTGGTTTGGGAGCTCTTAGCTTTCACCAGATAACAATATGCCGTTGAGGTAGGCTGTGGTTTAGCATACATAATGCATGTCCCAACCACCGGTCGATGAAGATTTACAACCTCATCAGCTGATTTACCTTTGCCTAACCTCACGATTGTTTACTCGGTAGTCCCACCATAAGTGATCAATGCTTCGAAGACGCGTGATCAAATACCAGTAACCTACGAATATAATTCCCAATGGTCGTGTTACATATCCATAAAGTAGAACGGAGACAGCCGCTGCACAATAAACTCATTCTTTGGTTGGCAGATAGACAACTTGTCTACGTCACGAATAACACAAGTTGGCAAACTCCAACTGAGAATTTTGAATGAGTAACAGATTTTGTCAAACATTTCTCCTCCATGGCTAATGGGACTTCTAAGATGAGTGAATCGGTCAACCCGATCAACTAATTAACTTCTTATCATGGGTCCAGGCATTGACCAAGACCAGCATCGAAGCAAGATTTCGCATTCGAGAGACAAACGCATTTCAAGTATGCTTGGATTGTCGCTGAGAGGTATCAGAAGACCACATTTTGTCAGCGTCTTTAACAAATAGAACCGTGTCACCAGTGTATTCTAAATGGAAAAGTGAATCTCCTGGTAGAGCAATATCTGAAAAGTTAAGGGATGTAATGTTACTTCGAGAAGGATATCTATAGCGGGGTTGAATAAGAAGGGAGACAAGGAGGTTGATGTACTTGTTCGGTATGTCTTTCAAAGAAAAAACATTTCCATGAAACCTCTCAAACAATGAAGCTGGATACTACCCCAAGGTCAAGGAATACAGCTGTAATAAGACATCGGAAAATGTATCTATGTTCCAACACCTGACGAAGAGTGAACACATGGTTCACAAACTGGTCTAAAACCAGCTTAGTTTTTCGGGCTCGCTCTTCACGAGCACCAGTTAAGAGTCGGGTGATTACTGAAGCTAATATTTTTGATATTATATTGTTTAAGTTGATCCCTCTGTGTTTGCTATAAGAGAATTTTTGTCCTTTCTAATAAACTGGGATCATCAGTGATTGGTTCCAGTCAGATGAGTTTCTAGATTCTATCTAATATTTCATTCCATCTAACTGTTAATACTAGATCACCGTCCCTAAAGATCTCCAGGATTAGTCTATCAGGTTCAGCTGCCATTCCTCAATTTAGGTTAGCTATAATATTTCAAATTCATTAATATTCAGAGGTTTACTTCAGTCTCCAATTTCGTTTGTTTTGGAGTAGTAAGTTATCAAGGGGTAGTTGGAGACAAGTTAAACTGTTTCCTATAATGTACTGTCCATCGGTCTAATCTCCTGAAATGAGAGTGAATAGTGGTTCCGTCTCTTTACGAAATGATCTCACTAAAAACCGAATTTCTAATACAGGTTTCTTTGATGAATCGGAATAATTATCTACTGTTACGTGTTGCTGTTGCCCTTTCCATCTCTTCTGGTTTTGTTGACCGTCATTGCTCATGATCGCTACGCAGGCTTTTTGTTAGTCTAAATTTAGACTGCCTTTGCACCTCATTGTATTCTGAACATGACGAAACAGGTTGCTAAGCATCTATCAATTCAGTATGTGCCACTGAAATCCACTGATGTTTCTTAATCTGTGGGTTTAAGATACTAATATATATCACTGCTGTTTGGATATCACGGCAAGGTACGTCAAGGTAAACGTCACTTTTATGGTTGATTAGTTGCATCTCTTGTTGTTCTTGAAATATACTCTTGACTTTTCCATCATTAAGATAAGCTGTAAGGGGTTTTCCTTCTATGACTTTTCTGTGCCCAGGAGGACGCAGGCAAACACGTGCTCTCATTAGAGTCAGTCAGTCAGTCAGCTACAACGTAGGATCAGGCACACATATGCATCGGTCAAAGCTGCCATACCTCGTTAGCACAACAATATTAACACCGAATCCATAGAACTAGTTACTTCAATGATGGTAATATGTAAAAGAAAGATTGTGTATAAGGATATAGTACAGGAAGAAAGAATTAGAAAGGTATAAAGTAATTTTAATCTCATGGTTTAAGGGAAAACAAAGAGTGTATACACAGATGCCATTGTGCTCTCACTAGAACATGATTAGGGTTTAAACATGTGCTTCAAAATGAGTGACAGTCTTATGTTGAACCTTCCAAAGACGACTAACTTCAATGTGGTTTATCTGCATCAATCGTTCAGTCAATCCCGAGGATCGCCATAACAGACAGTGTCTTTCATTATGCTTAAAGTTTGTGCTTGATAGAAATAAGAAATTATCTAAGCATAGTTACAGTAGCTGGTCGCCATTATCTGTTTGTTGAGCTGCGATACTTAAATGCCTTATAGCTTCGTTTATACCACCAACTTGGGCATTAAAATCACCTGATACTATTGTGGTATATGCTACTTATATCGACAGACATAAGTAGTATGTAACACCAATAAGAAGAATGGCTGGCAGCAAAAGGCTAAGAAGATCGGATTAAAGAAAACAGAAAGGAAAATAGAAAGGAATTGTGAACTGAAAGAATCAGACAGAATGATAGGGACAATTATTAAAAGAGCTGCAAATGAAGTATTTAATGTATGGTTCCGTAGCTTGTTATTAAATAATAAATTGGTTATCCCCGCGCGAGTTTCGTTCATCACACTAATACTAAATCTGAGCGCTTAGCTTTTGAGGACTAAAACATTTCTATGAAATTTATCTTTAACTTCACCAGAACTCCACTCACTGAGAGTGTGGGCAGAGATGATGAAGAAGTAATGGCGTGGATCTCACTGAGTACTTTTAATGTGCTAGCTTTCGATTTTAAGAGGTCCTACCTTCGAAAACGGAAACCCACGAGGTAAGGTGAGATCTGAAATTTTGAGTATCGACCTTTTGTAAACAATTCTTTTTGTTGTGAGAAGGCAGCATCGCTACAGATGCTATTGACTGGGGGAAACACCTTACTGACATCACACTCAGTAAAGTTAGTGGTACAACCTAGTCCCCGGATCTTAGGTCCCTGGTTTTAGTCTTACTGTTCTCGAACGGACCTGACTCATGGTAAGATCTAAAGAAATGTGTTCGAGCCAACATACAAAAATATCCTTCCATTATTAAAGAAAGGTTAATAAGTTGATTTATTTTTATTGGTTACACAGTATGGATGTCTATAAATCAATCCAAGTTACCATATTTCATACCGACAGACAAAGAAAATTAACAAGATGAATAGTGAAAAATTGGAATAATAACTATGTAAATGTTACAGGAAAACGAAAGTAGTATTTATATTTCATAAAGAAATGAATGAAAAGTGTGGAATAACAACCATAAGCTCAATTATTTAATGAAAGATAAAGAATTGAATGACACAACTAAAGTTACTGAGATCGATTTCGATCTATATCATCATTTAACATCTTCAACTAGGAAGTATACACTTTCCTATATGGTCTCTATTTGATAATAAATCATTTTGATCGTGTTGTTGATGTAACTCAACAATGCAAAGAGAAAGCGGAAACAATGATGGGCAGATGATAAACACATTTCACAACAAAACTTCATAAACTGGAACTAAACTAAACGATAACATCTCAAATACATCACTTAATTTGTCATATTGATTTATTATACATCAAATACAATAGTTCGAACTTGAATAAATTATGTGATTTAGTCAGCTTACAACTAACTAATTAATCAATAAAATTAGTGTGTTTTACACCAATCTACTAACGTTCTGAGAATAAAAGTTATAATCAATAAATCCAACTGGTTTACTGAATTATATGCTTGCTCCTTTTTACTGAAAGAAATTGTCAATATGTTTTCTAATTTGTAGAGGTCTATGTGGTGATATCTACCAAAATATTGAGTGTTTTTCATTCACTGGTAAAGAATTCCGTTACAATGGGATTTGGAAATTGAACGATTTCCTGTTTCACTGGTATAGATTTGAAAGAATGTAATGATAATAATAAACAATTGGAGACCTGAGGCGACAAGGTTCATATTCTATCACACAGGTGTTTTTCTATATATTTATTTGACTACTAAACAGTTTTATTCCAAACTTTCCCCTTCCTAATTTTATGCATTGCTTTCTTCAATCGTAATTCCTGTTTAGTTTTTAACTGTAACGTTGATATTGTTAAGTTGATTGTTTTCGGTGTCCATATCTTTAGTTACCTTTCTGATCAAGCTGACATAAAGTATTAGACAGTTCTGATCGATTTCTATCGATTAAGTCCTGAAGGAGGTCAGTTGCGACCCGAATAACTCAGTGACATCTTACTGTAAAACTGTGTGATTACGGTTCAAAGCGATTTGAGAACACTGGTTCATTGAGGATTGCAGGTACCTTGCTGGTGAATGCCGACTAGTATGAAACGTCGACCCAAGATTTTCTGTTGGCTAAATGCAACTACCCAACAACGAAATATAGTGCTTTTACAGGTGGTTAATTTTATTTGAACACATAAATATTGGTACAAAGGGGCATCGAATATATATGCGCCATACAAGTCATTCGATTTGTGTATGGGCTATGATACTGCCCGGGTGCCCAAACCGAAGAAGCTGACTAGGTGAACAAATGACAACAGAAATACTCAAATGAGTCAGAAATAATAATAAATTAAGCTCTGTGATTCAAGAAGATACTTTCGACTTTTAAAGTCATAGATAGATACTTTTGAAATTTTAAAGTAGGATTGAATAGTTAGTATATATACATATATATATGGCATATTTAGTGCTGATCGTTTTGAGGTCACGTTGCGCCCAATAAATAAAATATACTAAAGTTAGGCATTGATTCCAACCAATCCACGATACTGCGCGATCATAAACACCGTCGGATTCCAGCTCAGTGGTATAGAGGTTAGGCGTTTGCGAGAGACTGAAGGTTCTGAATTTGAGTCCCGCGTATGGGATCGTGTATGCGCACAGCTGAGGAGTACCATACTAACACGAAACGGCTACTCAGTGTTTCCAGTATTAAAAAGTGGTCTAACAATAACCATTTCGAGATCTCAATAAAAAAACTCAACGATTTCCATCACTCCATACTAATAAAATACACTGAATTTGTATGGCACCTATCATCCTCAAAAACCGACACAAACCCTGTGTTTAGTTATCAAAACGTAAACCAGGAAGCAATTTTATGGTAGAAAAAGGAATCACAGTATAACAACTTTTAAAAACTAACTTACACGACGCATGGGAGAACTAAATGGTCGTGACGATGACAGTCTAGAAGTCGGGGCTGGATTTGTTTTAGGCGATCCAGAGGAATAACGATGAGTATTCATTTCTAATCGACCAAACGAGTGTTCGGGATTAATAGGAATAGATATGCTTGGGGTTAAGGGGTACTGTGTGCCCTGACAAAATGGGATCCTAAGATTTTGTGTTGTTTTTATGGGATCACTCATCTGTGATAGAAATGGTTGGATTAGTGTTTCTTGTGGATGATTAAATGTTAACTGATCGTTTAGAATGGTGTAATTGGGTTTTGAGAGAACAGCAGTTGGTGTCAAATACTGGAAACTGCCAACCAATCCACCTCCGAGGACTGGTTGTACCGCTGTTGAATTTCCATCTTTAACATAAATCGCTGCTTTATCAGTGACTGAAGTATTCTCGGGAAGAAAACCAGTTATCTGAGAATTGGGTACATAGGCAGGATATGGTACTGAATGTTCCCAATTTGTAATCATTTGAGTATTGACTGCGGATCCACTGGGGATTGAAGAATGGGACCAAAATGAATTATCAGTACTGTTTATAACAGGCTGTGATCGGAAATCTCCATTGAATATCAATGTAGTTGAAGCGGAATCACTAGATGGCAAATTAACAGTACTAGATACTGCGACCTTTTGATTTGGTGAACATGAGAACACAGAATATATGGACTGAGTAGTCTGAGGTATACTTACATGAAGTTGTGGATGACTCGGAGCAGTTGCAAACTGTTGTCTAATCGAACAAGATGAAGACTGAGTTCGACTGGAATATGGAGAATGAGAAATGAACGGAAGATTGGGACCAGGAATGTTAGAATTGCAATTTTCGCCAACTTTTTGTAGAAGTTCAGGATATCTGATGGGTTTTGTGTCATTCGACATATGTTTAGGTGATTTCCCAACATTCTTCAAAGAATATGGTGAGCTATGGGGTAAGTCAGATGAATGTGAAGTGAATAACTCTAGAGTTTGAACTGTAGGAAAGCATTTAGGAGCACCTGGATATTCTTGATAATCTGATGAATACTTATTTTTAACGAAAGAGTCAGTCCGTAATTGCTGATTACAAATGTTATCAATTGGACAAACCTGATTATCAATTACAAAACTACTTTCATGTATACTTCTGCGAATTTGTACACTAGACAATGGAGTTAACGGTGAATAAGAATATGGTATATGATTAGGTTTTATTATTGGATGAGGTGCATGATGATCAGTAGGAGATTGATGTATAGATGGTCGTGTTATTGAAGGTATATCTGCCCCAACTAATCCCATTGAATAAGAAGTAATGTTAAGTGGTCCAAGATCATCAGGTACTGTATTAGAAGGCAGTGATTGAACATTATCTAAAGGAGTATTTGTTTTATAGTGTGCTTGAAAATTTTCATATTCGCTTGATTCAAGTGACGGTACAGTTTGTAAATTTGTATCAGATGGTAATGAGATAATGGGTACTAAAGCGCTAGTACTGTTTAGCGGGTTGAAATCTGTGAATAAGATTTTTGAAAAAAAAAGCAATAGGAAATACAGATTAGAACATTATTCTGAATACTAAAATCCATCTCTCTATTTAATTAAATCAATGAATATAATTCTAGTTTCTTGTGAATGTCAGAGTTGTCTTTTTCATAACCCCATTATTCTAACTCAATTATGAGGTACAGCTTTTATGTACTCGGCTTGAAGCAATACTTCATAACCCCAAAACCTGGCAAATTACTTGTTACTTGAGATTATAGTAAATGAGAATTTATTATTTATCGAGCACACCATTCATCGTTCATCTAAACACAAGTTGTCTAAAATTCGATGAAGTGCAAGTTCCAGCAAGATTTGTTGCTCAAGATAAGTAAACGACTAATGAGGCGTATCCTTTGATGGGATTTTCAGTTCCTTTCACAAGTAGAAAAAATACTTGTTTATGGTTTCTAATTTTGGAAGACGAAAAAACTCACTAATGAAAAAATAAGAAGCTTTCACTAATAGGTAAATTAGTGTAGGGCAATATTCAGTACAAATATATTTCATTTTTATGAAAACATGAGATTCCGTTAGATATGACATATTTGATAACTAACCATTAAGTAACTCCTAGATTTTACTTCGAAACTGCCAATCAGTACTGAGTGCTAGACGACATTTTTTAACTAGCAAAAGCTAATAATTGCAGACTTACTGACCAGTGTGCTAACATTTCCCCCCTATTTTCTCAGTTAACACAGCATCATCATACTAGTATAAGCTCAGTTAGATAACATTCTATCCAATGCATATTTCAAGTAAATTTGTAAACAATACCTATTCCGAAGTTGACGTTAATCATACTGGAAATTGATCAGAAATGGCATAATATTAAGTCTAACAATAAATAAGTTATTTTGAACAAAACCATGTAACAGTAACTCCGCCTGAAGTCCCTCTGGAGGCTACTGTCGGTCCCAAGCCCGGATAAAGGAGGAGGGTTGGGCATGGGGTTAGCGACCCCATCCCGTAGAAAACTAACTCGCTAAAAAAACGCTAACCAGAAGAAATTATTCAAACCTTCTAAACTCTGTCCTGGGAGTAAGAAGGTCTTCATTTAGAAGAACCATGACGCCTCATGATGAAAGCCGAGTTCCTTCGGAAGTTACGAGGCCGATGCCCCTTCTGACAACCAAAGCAACCATTTGTTTAGGTACATGGAATACTCGTACAATGTGGGAGACCGGGAGAGTCTTCTAAATCGCTGCATAAATGAGGAGATGCAACCTAGAGGTGCATGGGATCAGTGAAACACATTGGACGCAAGTTGGAAAACAACAACTAGCTTCAGGGGAGCTTTTGTTATACTCCGGCCATGAAGAAGAAAATACTCCACATACACAAGGAGTTGCATTGATGCTGTCCAAACAAACACAAAAGGCACTTATAGGATAGGAATCTCATGGACTAAGGATCATCAAAGCCTCCTTCAAAACAAAGAAAGAGGGCATTTCAATGAACATCATCCAATGCTATGCGCCTACCGACGATTACAATGAAGACGCTAAAGACCAATTCTACAATAGGCTGCAGTCAATCATCGAGAAGTGCCCAACAAAGCACCTGACCATTCCGATGGGAGATTTCAATGCCAAGGTTGGAACGGATAACACTGGATATGAAGACATCGTGGGACGACACGGACTGGGAGAAAGGAACGAAAACGGTGATAGATTTGCAAACCTATGTGCCTTCTATAAACTGGTCATAGGCGGCACCATATTCCCACATAAACGCATTCACAAAATCACATGGACTTCACCGGATCACACCACGCAAAACCAAATCGACCATATTTGCATCAAGAAAACGTTCAGGAGGACTATAGAGGACGTGAGAACCAAGAGAGGAGCTGATATAGCCTCAGATCATCACTTGCTGGTCGCCAAGATGAAATTGAAACTCGAGAAGCACTGGACAATGGGGCGGACAATATCACAAAAGTTCAATACGGCCTCTCTTCAGGATACTAACAAACTCAACAAATTCAAGATAGCCCTCAGCAACAAGTTCCAGGCCTTTCATGATCTACTCAATGGAGAAGGAACTACTGTGGAGGGCAACTGGAAGGGGATCACAGAGGCAATCACTTCAACATGTCATGAGGTTCTGGGTCACATGAAGCACCATCACAAGGGATGGATCACTGTTAATACACTGGATAAGATTCAAGAAAGGAGGAGCAAGAAGGCAGCAATCAATACCACTGAACAAAAGCAGAAAAAACCAAGGCACAAGCTGAGTACACAGAAGTTAACAAGCAAGTGAAGAGGAGCATCAGAACCGACAAACGTAAGTATGTGGAAGATTTAGCAATGACGGCGGAAAAGGCTGCAAGAGAAGGAGACATGAGACAATTGTATGACACGACAAAGAAAATCTCTGGAAATCGCCGCAAACCAGAACGACCAGTGAAAAGCAAGGAAGGCAAGGTAACCACCAACATAGAAAAACAACGAAACAGGCGGGTAGAACACTTCAAAGAACTCTTGAATCGACCAGCTCCACTGAACCCACCCAACATCGAAGCAGCACCCACGGACCTCCCAATCAATGTTGGCCCACCAACAATTGAAGAATTCAGCATGACCATCAGACAAATCAAGGGTGGCAAAGCGGCAGGACCAAACAACATTCCAACAGAGGCACTAAAAGCAGACGTAGCGGCAACTGGAAGGATACTCCACATTCTCTTCAATAAGATTTGGGATGAGGAACAAGTACCAAAAGACTGGAAAGAAGGACTCCTGATCAAAATACCGAAGAAAGGCGATCTCAGCAACTGTGATAACTACAGGGGCATCACTCTTCTCTCAATACCGGGAAAAGTCTTCAAAAGGGTATTGTTAAACAGGATGAAGGACTGCGTAGACGCCCAACTTCGAGACCAACAGGCGGGATTCCGTAAGGATCGATCGTGTACAGATCAAATCGCAACTCTACGGATCACTGTGGAACAATCAATTGAATGGAATTCATCACTCTACATCAACTTCATTGACTACGAAAAGGCACTTCATAGCGTGGACAGAACAACACTATGGAAACTTCTTCGACACTACGGCGTGCCTCAGAAGATAGTCAATATCATACATTGTTCAAATGATGGATTACACTGCAAAATCGTGCATGGAGGACAGTTGACAAAGTCGTTCGAAGTGAAGACCGGTGTTAGGCAAGGTTGCTTACTCTCACCCTTTCTCTTTCTCCTGGTGATTGACTGGATCATGAAGACGTCAACATCTGAAGGGAAACACGGGGTACAGTGGACATCTATGATGTAGTTGGACGATCTAGACTTCGCAGATTATCTGGCCCTTCTATCCCAAACGCAACAACAAATGCAGAAGACGACTAGTGTAGCAGCAGCCTCAGCAACACTAGGTCTCAACATACACAAAGGGAAAAACAAGATTCTCCGATACAACACAGCATGCACCAATCCAGTCACAATTGACGGAGATTCGGAAGATGTAGAAACCTTTACATATTTGGGCAGCATCATTGATGAACAGGGTGGATCTGATGCAGATGTGAAGGCGCGGATCGACAAAGCAAGAGCAGCATATTTACAACTGAGGAACATCTGGAACTCAAAGCAACTGACAGAGTGGGTTGGAGGATGCTGGTCGGCGGCCTATGCTCCATCGGGAGTAACAGGCGTAAGTAAGTAAGTAATGTAACAGTACTAAGCTAACTGATGATTTATAAAAACTATGCCACTGTGCAATAATTCCTTTTTCAAAATGCTTACTTTTATGTTAGTTGTGCTAAGGATAATATAAATGGGAAACCGTATTATTTTTTCTTATTTCGTGACAATTATACTATAACAAAAGCTCTTCATTCCAGTGGGTTTTGGTTAATTATAAACAAATTTTACAAGTAAAAATACTGCTTGAAGATGTTTTTAAGGTGATTAGCGGACTGTCATATGAAATACACGACAACTAACAAATAACATCTATCTTAACGATCTTTATCTATTTTTTCATCAATTTACTGTAGTTTATTCATCGTAAATAACCTCCTTACCCTTAACATTTCCTATTTGTTATATCTAGAAGGTTCTTCTTGATATACTGCGTATAACGTGAGCACTAGAACGCCAGAACCCTTCCAAGTCGCAATGAGAAGACAGAAGACTAATGAAAGGAATATTACTTCCAGACAGTGTCAATTATAATACAAAATTGTCAGGTATTTATAGTTTTTAGTAAGAACGAAATCATCATTACAGTCCACCAATCCGCATACAGTGGGTTATTAGCATTGTCCAGTCGGGAAGCTACACGTAGGAATTCCAGAATATTCTTCCAAAAGGTAATTGGATGGAATATCTTCGGCTACTTCTGAGCCTGCTACAGCTCCCTCGAGTTCACCAGTGGTCCGTCGTCACACCTCCCTCCTTTAAAGTCTGTTGTGTAAGACTTTTTTCCTCGGATCCACCTGAAACTTGGTTGCTCCATTCCTCTCCAGGGTTGTACTGCTTTGCCCTTGCGTCGTCTATCTCTTCTATGTTTGCGCTCCTAAGGGCTTTTCTGAGGTGAATCCACGAGCAATTCAAATGGGAGTCGGCTTTCTGGGACCACTGTACTGCCGTCTCTTTGAATTCGATTTATGTGTGTTATACATTTTCCGACACCTTTCCGGACTAGGTACAGTACATTTCCGATTTGACGTTCTATGACACCTGGTCCCCACTTCCTATTACCTTGATACGATTTGACAAGTACCTTTTCACCCACCTGAAAGCTACTAGTGACCGTACGATACTCATTCGTGGGGTTATTTGTCTTTCTGGGTGGCAACATACTGTTAAAGACTGTCTGGATTTTCCTTCCGAACATACACTCGGCTGGTGACTTTTCTTCTGGTACTGCCTGACTAGGGGTAACTCTGTAAGACATTAAGAACTTACTGATCACTTGTTCTGGGATACCCTCACCTCCCCCTTTGACCAGAGCTCTTTTTATCGTACCCGTGAATCTTTCTGCTTGGCCATTCGACTGAGGATGGTACGAAGGAGATTGTAGATGCGATATGCCATTTTCACTGCAAAAGCGTTTGAAAGCGGATGACATAAACTGAGTACCGTTGTCGATCACTTAGACCTCTGGAACCCCGAAACAAGCAAACAATCCTGACAATCTTCTTATTGTACACTCTGATGTCGTTTTCGGCATGTCCTATACTTCTGGCCATTTTGTGAAATCATCGACAACAACTAAGTAATTTCTGCCTTGTATTGGTCCGGCAAAATCAGCGTGTATTCTTTGCCAAGGCCCGTCCGGTTTTGGCCATGGTTGTGGTTCAGCTTTCGTTGAATTCTTCGCAGCCTTTAGACAGGACCAACAACTGCGACATTTTTGTTCTATATCATGGTTCATTGACGGCCAGTATGCACAGCTGCGAGCTAGCGATTCCGTTTTACTTATCCCCGGGTGCCCGCTGTGGAACTGCTTAATGACTTGGTGTCGAAGATTTCTGGGGATAACGATACGGTGGCCAAACATGATGCACGAATCGACAACTGTCAAGGGATCTCGTCGACGAAGATATTGTAAGATTTCTCCATGTAGTCTAGATGAAGGCCACTCGTTGAGTATGCAGTGGCGAACAATCTTCAATGCATTATCCTTCTTGCTAGCTTCTTTAATGGCTTCGAATGTGACCGGGAGTCCGGAAACTGCGTCTGCCAATACTTTGTGAACCTCAGCCTCAACATCTATGGCAGCTACACGCACTTCCACTTCTTGTTTTGCATGCGAACCAATCAATCTTGAGAGGGCATCTGCCTGTCCAAAATCCGTTGTATGTTGATACTTTATCTTGAAATCATAGCCCAGCAGTGTAGCTGCCCATCGCTGTAGACGGTTTGCTGTATATACAGGGATACTTTTCTTGGGTTTATTAAACTATAAATTTTGGTATTATGGAATCAAACACTAAAGTGGATTTATAGAGGAGGATAAACGTGTTTCCATTTCATAGTAAACTAAAGTAACCAGTAACTTAATATGTACAGCAAACTTGTGTGACATGTTTATCACTTTACTGACTAATTCATATATTTCGCCCAACATTTTAGACATTATATCAATCTGTTATACTGGTCTGGTTCTCATTTGTTACTAAGTCGTTTTTTATAATTGAATGATGTGTGTTGAGCTAGTTTCCAAATATACCCTCAATTTCCAGCTTACAGGTAAATTTTAGGTCTTCAAGAACATTTGGGAGCACAAAAACCTGTGTTTGATTTAACGCGTGTTCAGAATTTAAATATATGCTTGAAAAAGCAGGAAATCTACAGTCAAGCTACTTTTAATAGCAAATTTAAGAATAAAAATTAGATTGTTTCAATGAACAGGCTGTTACAGAGAGTAATTATTATTTGTTTATTTATTTTAGCACATAGATATTTGTACAAGGAGGCATCAAATACATATGCGCCACACAGATTTCATTTGATATGTGTGAGGGCTGTGATACTGCCCGGGTGCCCAAACCGAAGCAGGTGGTTTTCTTAGGGGGCCACATCCGGAGCCTTCGACCTGAAGGTCTGGCCCACAAGGCAGAGAGTAAAAAGATAACTATCTCATCTTTGGATTTATTGTTATATAATGCACCTGAAAATCTAGTTGCCATGAGACCGAATAAAGCAAACAACCAACAGGAATGATATTCTATAACTTAAAATTCTTTGTAGTAGCTGAAAAGATCGAGGGACTGGAAATTCCATGAAAGGATCCATATCGGGGAGAGTGAGGAATAGATGATGAAAAAAGTTTATAGTGGATGTTACTTGAGATGAGGATGGCTATGTTATTTCTGTATCACCAGAACTTAAGTTACCATGAAGTACCTCGAAGTAATAGACAGATTTATTAACATGAAACCATAAAAAAAATGTAGAGGTCTAGATTACTTTGCTTCATACTACTACAGGAATATGACAGAACAACATATTCACCGAAATTGGATATGGGCATTTTTCTATCCAAAGGAGATAAGTGTACTAGTTAGCCATTTAGTTTAAACAAAAGATGCCGAATTGTATGCAAGTAGTTTTGAAATATGAAAAGGTATTTAGGCCGGAGCTAATCTGTGACGGTGTCGACTGTAAGTTTAAACTGTTTGTTAATCAGTCAGCTACAACGCAGGATCAGGCACATATGTGCATCGGTCCAAGTTGCCATACCTCATTATCACAACAAGATGAACACCGGATTCATAGAAGTGGTTAATTCAGTGGTGGTAAAATATAAAAGAAAGATTTCATATAAGGATATAGTACAGGAAGAAAGAATTAGTTCGTAGAAAGAAAGATATGAAGCGACTTTAATCTCATAGTTTAAGGGAAGACAAAGAGTGTATACATCGGCGCCACTGTGATCGATTCTGAGTCATGTCACCAAGAGTCTCTAACCATTGGTTACGATAGTCACGCGGACACCAACCAAGTAGTCTGCATCTACCAACATGGCTCAGACTAGAAGTTAGTGTCCTCAAGCACTGATGCCACGTTTTGGTTTGGCCGCCCCTTATTTTCTTCCAACCATCTCTAACACCGGTTAGCATTGCACGTCGTGGTAATCGGTGTTTGGGCATACGTAACACGTGGCCCAACCATCTCAGTCGATGGAGATTCACAATCTCATCAACTGATTTACCATCATTCCCTAATACCCTGCGTCTAACCTCACTATTACTTACCCGGTGATCCCAGCAGACGCCAGCAATATTTCTAAGGCATCTGTGGTCAAATACTAATAGCTTACGAGTGTCTTCTACTCTTAAAGACCATGTTTCGCTGCCGTAAAGTAAAACAGAACGGACTGCCGCGCAGTATGCCCGTCCCTTAACTGATAGACGGATATCTCGCCTTCGCCATAGGTGACGTAAGTTGACGAAAGCCAAACGAGCTTTTCGAATCCGTGCTGAGATTTCGTCCGATACCAACCCATTAGCGCTGATCAGACTTCCAAGATAAGTGGAGTTGTCAACGCGTTCGACTACTTCACTCCCTATCCTTAGTTCCGATGTTGACGCAGACCAGTCCTGAAGCAACAACTTGCATTTAGAGGAGAAGCGCATCCCAAACATTCTGGCATTGTTGCTCAGTGCTATCAAAAGACTCTGTATTTAATCAGCGTCTTCACCAAACAGGACTATATCATCTGTGTATTCTGAATCGATAAGTGGACCTCCTGATGGGAGATCAATGCCCGAAAAGTCAGTCGATGAGACTGTTATTTAGACCGTTAACAAAATGTTTGCTTTCTGATTGAGATCAGCTGAGCAATCGAAGATGAATTGTGAACGTCATGTGATATGAATTTAAAATCACCGAAACCCATTCATTCAATCAGTCAGAAACAGCATAGGACACTGCACTAATATGGATCGACCAAAGTAATCATAATTTACATTAACACAGTCGGAGTGAGTTAACAATATAAAAAGCGAAGGAGTTAAAGTAACGATACTAATATTATGAGAAAAACGAACAGAAATAATAGTTCGAAAATGTATGGATAGGAAGCATGACATAATAATTGGCTTAAGACTTAGGTGGAAAATAAAGGAACACAACTGCACAACTGCAACTGATTTTGAGCCATGACACCTCAAGTATCTTATAATAGATTGCAGTTAATTTACGGAACTCAGTTATTAAGACTACATTTCATAACAAAACGTTGATTGGTAGTTACTGATTTCATTAACTAACTGGATTTCTCGATAGGGTTAGTCACATCATGTGATCTACTTCCATGCTAGCTACAACAATGTATCGAGGTAGTCGATGGTTCGATACATAAAAAATACATCTCAACTACTTAATTCAGCGAAAATTCACAACTCCATCGACCAATTTATTTGTCTTTACAGAGCACTCTACGATCAATGCTTCGAAGAAATCTGTGATTGGAAAATGAGTCTCCGGGTAGGAAGTCAGCCTATGAAACGTTTGATTGTGTTATAATGTTAAAAAATTAAGCCTAACTTTCAGGCCTCGGTCGATTGGAAAATGAGTCCAAAATTTATGAAATATAATTTTTTTAGAATTTGGGATAAAAACTATAACTTACCAACAGATATATATTCAGACGTCAAAGTTGGCCGGTGGTTCAAAGTCTTGCTGTTACAACTTCTTAATTTAGTATCAGCATTGTTGGTGTTACTCTCATTGATTTTATTACTTAGGTCATCGAAATTGAAAGAATCGACATCATCACCATTTGAAGACCACAACAATGTCTTTGACGTCACTTCTTCCAGATCTGATAAACTGGCTACATCAATCGCTGGAGCTGAATTACAACTTGACGGTATGTAACCCAACTCAATTAGACCCTCAGCATCGATTAAGCGGCTAATTAGTTCAAAACTAGATATACGATTTTGTTCTTCACCATTATCGTCACAATGAGGATCTCTAGTGATGCCCAGTGGAGAGTTAGGAAGGAAGGAATCTAGATGTAACTCTTGGTCTGTAAGATAAATACTACTAGACTCATTCTGGCCATCACTCATATGTACAGTAGCGTGAGAGTTTAGGTAAGAAACGGAATCTTGTTGAACAGGAATATTTTGTAGAGACAGAGACGAGGAATGTTCACCAATCTGCTCAACTGAACCCACAGACTGCGGTGTAACAATACTCACCGGTATCATATGGTATTTCGTAAGCCTTATATTTTTAGGGTAGCACGCAATATGGTAAGAAAAAACAGGATTATTTTATAAACATTCTGAATTGATATTACCTAGGGATAAGAATAAGAATAAAAAAACACAAACCTGGCATAATAAAACGAAAAATACCAAGAGTAAAACGTGTATAAAAAAACCCAGCGGAGTGAGATATTCAGATTACTTGAAATAAGTTAAGATACCTAATGTTTATTGACGTGACTAACAGCTTTCCTTCAAGATTTGTTAACTTGAGTATGAGGAGGGCATAGTTTTACAGCGCAATGATAAATAAATTATGCTAATCGTATTGAATCAGTCGGCGATCAGTGTCCGTATGTATGGCACCTTCTAAACACAGAAAACTGCAAAACTAGCAGGAACCTGTGCATGAGCTTACTCTTGGTGGCAAACCGTTAGTAGCAGTCAAAACGTTCGTGTGTTTGGATAGTACTGAAGGGATGACCGATGAGGTCAGTCCACGTCAAGTAAAAGTGGGTCAACTATACGCAACATAAAACCCGGTACATGTGTACATCAATTCAAGCTGCCAGACCCTAGAGTGGCTTATGACAATACGAGTCATTATTGTCGCCATAGTGATATCAGTCTAGATGCAAAAGGCCGGTTTTACGGCGCATCGGTGAGAGCAGTTTTGTCCTATGCTTACTGAACCTGGCCAGGTTCCTGTATGCGCGTTTCGGAGACGCAGCACACATCGATGGCGCGAGATTCTAAAGTTTTAGCTAAGGAAGCCTGCTGTCCTATTTGGCACAGTGTTCGTACGTTAAAAGCTCCTACGTGTAGTTTAGAGCGTGGTTTCAGGAGACCAGGAATAGCGTTCCACGTACTCGAATCGTTTGCCCTAGCGGTGCGAGGTGATAAAGAGACGTGAGGAGGATTAGTCATGGAGATAAGAGAGGTATTAGGAGGTGTAGGAAGGATTTGACTGTGACCAACTTGGTCTCGTGTGCTGTTACGGGTATGAGGGCTGATGTCACTTCCCGGCTGCCCACACCGTGGAAGGGTATTTCTTGAGGAACCTGAGAAGGAAATTGGATTAGTGTTGGTCTTGACGACCTGGGAGCGTGACCGCAGAGCCCAAGGGACAACTGCTTGAGGCCGGTCGCGCACGGCCTTTTTGTGGAAGGTTTTTGACGTGTTAGCTCCGTTCTTCAAAGGGCCTTACCGCCGGAGACGGAAATCCGTGAGGTAAGGTGGGGTGTGACATTTTTAGGGTCGACCTTTTCTAACCCCACCCCTCCTTGTGGGAAGGCAGCATCGCTGTCATGCTGGTTGTCTGAGGGAAACACCTTACTGCTGTCACACCCCTCTACAGTCAGCAGTACGACTTCGCCCTCAGACCTTGAGTTGCTGCTTTTAGTCTTACCGTTCACCAATCGACCTGCTTGGCATGGTAGAACCTACAGGAACATATGTTCCAGCCAATATAGCTCGGTTGGGTCATCACGATAGGCAAGCCCGACCACCGCGTCAAGGTAGCAGCTTCGGTCGGGCGGCACTATAGCCAAACGCACGTTGAAGAATCTCACCATTACTACATAGTGTTCTCACCGGTTGTGAGCAGTCATTTGGTGACAGCCATGGTGGAACACCGGTAGTCGTTATTATTATTATTATTATTATTATTATTATTATTATTATTATTATTATTATTATTATTATTATTATTATTATTATTATTACTTTCCACATTATTCACCCTCTTTTATACTTATACAGCGGCTCGTCTTTGGTGGAAATTCGACTGTATCTAAACGTTCTCGAGTCACTGTCCGGTTGAAAATTGTATGTTACCACCGAATACGAGAACTGAAGCAGTTTTTCTGAAACCACGTGCATCATTCAAACTGGCTGCCTTCAACGTTCGCACACTTATGCAGGTCGGACAACAGATAGGGCTGGCCATGTCTTTGGAAAGTCTTAATATTGATGCTTGTTGTCTATCCGAGACCCGTATTCAAGACTCTGGCGAAGTACTACAAATTCGATCTCCATCTGTCGCTTCGAAAAGCTTGTTTTACGTGCGTTTATCCGAGGACCCTGTGGCATCTTCGGCTGGTCTTGCTGGCGTTGGTGTTGCACTAAGCGCTAGAGCTGAGGCGGCACTAATCGATTGGATCCCCATTAACAGTCGGTTATGTGCTGTTAGATTGGAAAGTTCCATCAAAGTGAGAAGAAATCGGCGTGAGAAACGATGTCTTTTCGTCATCTCCGCCTATGCCCTGACAGATTGCAGCCCGGATGCAATCAAGGATGAGTTTTACCACCAGTTATCTGTTCTTCTCCAGAAAGTGCGTTCGACAGATATTGTAGTACTAGCCGGAGACTTGAATGCTCAGGTCGGGCGTCTAGGCACAGAAGAGAGTCGTTTACGTGGCCGATGGGGACTCGTTGGTCACAGGTCAGATAACGGGGACCGTCTACTGCAACTGTGCACAGACCACAACCTGTTTCTGGCTAGCACTAACTTTCGGCACAGTCATCGCCGATGTGACACCTGGCGTCCTCCCTCTGCATCTCAAGCCTGAACTCAGATTGATCACATCGCGATCAGCTACCGCTGGCGTGGTTGTGTACAAGACTGCTGCTCCTTTTGGAGTACCTATCTGGACTCTGACCATGCTTTGGTCTGCGCCAATCTTGCCTTACTTTTCAGTGGCCAACGAAGTGACCACCATCAAAGGATTGATGTCAGCAAGTTGGTTGCAACTTCTGTTGCAAGTAAGTATCGAACCGAGCTAGCTTCTAGGCTAGCTACCACTCCACCGAAAAGTATAGATGAGCATTGGTTGCAATTGCATGACGCCATGAAAATGGCGGGTACAGTCACTTGTGGGTTCACGAAATGTCCCGCTTATAAGCACTGGGTTTCTTCAGGTTCCTTACAACTCATTGAAGCCCGTCGGTCTACTCCGGGTGACCGTGAGTTTGACCGCAAACGAAAGATGATACGTAAGGAAATTGGGCAAAGCTTGCGTAAGGACCGAAAAGCCTGGTGGTCGAAGCGTGCTAATGAGCTGGAAGCAGCAGCTGCATCTGGTAACTACCGGGAGCTCTTGCAGCTCATCCGAGCCACTGGCAGCAAGAAGTCTGGTGTGAGTGAAACAATCTGCGAGGATGATGGGATGCCAATCACTAACATCCATCGACGTCTTGGACGATGGGCAGAATTTTTCGAAGGGCAGTTCAACTGGCCTGCTGCTCCGGCAACATCGGTCAGACTGTCCTGTCCTCCATGGCCGGTGACGACTGATCCACCAAACAAGGAGGAAGTCCGCAAGGAACACCAACTCTTGAAGTGCTACAAATCACCTGGCCCAGATGACTTACCTCCGGCTCTTTTTAAAGATGGTGGTGACTTTTTGACTAAGGAATTGACGACGTTGTTTACAAAGGTTTGGGAGCTCGAGAGTGTACCAACGTCGTGGAATGAGTCGATAGTTGTCCCTATCTTTAAAAAGGGTTCACGTCGTTCCTGTAACATCTATCGGGGGATAAGTCTACTTCCGATTGCGTCCAATCTATTGGCTTCCGTCATACTTCGTAGGTTGTTCAAAACCCGAGAAAGATTGACTCGCGAGGAGCAGGCTGGGTTTCGTTCCGGTCGAGGATATATTGATCATATCTTCACCCTCCACCAAATGTTAGAACACCGCCATACTTTTCAAAGGTCAACAACCGTAGTGTATCTTGACATCAGGGCTGCCTTCGATTCGTTGGACAGGACTGTTCTCTGGGATTGTCTATTGAAGAAGGATGTGCCTGAGAACTTTATTAACATCCTGAAAGCCCTATATAAAAACACCTCAGGCAGAGTGAGGGCATACAACCACCTCTCTCCATTGTTCCATTCGAGCAGTGGGGTTAGGCAGGGTTGCCCAATCTCACCATTCCTCTTCAACTTTGCCATCGATGACATTCTGGAAACAGCCCTGATGAATGTAAGTAATGGTGGTGTGGATCTGTTGCCTGGAGAAAGACTTCTCGACCTTGAGTATGCGGACGATATTGTCTTACTGTGCGATAATGCCCAAGGCATGCAATCCACACTTAATCAGTTGACAATCAGTGTCTGTAGGTATGGTATGTGCTTTGCACCTTCCAAGTGCAAAGTACTTCTACAAGACTGGCAGGATTCCAATCCTGTACTCACCCTGGATGGTGAGCAGATAGACGTAGTCGAGAAGTTCGTATATCTGGGTAGCTGCATAAATGCTGGTGGGGGTGTGGGTGATGAGATCAATGCACGAATAGTGAAAGCCAGAGCGGCTTATGCCAATCTGGGCCACCTTTGGCGCCTTCGTGATGTTAGTCTGGCTGTAAAAGGTCGGATCTACAACGCGTCGGTGAGAGCAGTTTTGCTCTATGCTTGTGAAACCTGGTCCCTCCGAGTTGAGGACGTTAGACGACTCTCTGTGTTCGATCATCGCTGTCTCCGAAGGATTGCTGACATTCAGTGGCAACAACATGTCAGTAATGCAGAGGTTCGGCATCGTGTGTTCGGGCACAGAGATGATAATTCAATTGGTGTCACCATCTTGAAACACCGACTTCGGTGGCTTGGACATGTTCTACGAATGTCGTCCCAGATAATTCCACGTCGTGCATTATTTGCCGAATCTGGGACTGGTTGGAAGAAGCGGAGAGGTGGTCAGTGCATGACACGGTGTCGTGGTATGAAAGAAAGCTGCAAAGAACAGGCTTCTGTCGGTCCTTCATGGCTCTCTGGTTGGGGTCCTTGAGATGGTGCGACACAGTGGCTAGAGACGTTATCAGATATGGCTCAGAATAGAAGCCAGTGGCGATCCTGCTGCAACCTTCTTTTACTTTCTTCATAAAAAGTGGTTGTGTCTCCCTTACCTGAAAGATTTCTTCCGATTGTACCTTTCCGTTCCCTCGTTACTACCACACTACCTTACACCAATCTCTTCGTTATTGTTCTCTTTTTCTTTTGCGCT